CAAAACACATCAGTTTTTGCTATAATTCACGAAAAATAAAAAAAAAAAAAAAAAAAAAAAAAAAAAAAAAACACCTCCTCCTGCAGCAGCAATGCTACATCGTGGACCAGCAGTTCTGACTTCTGCTGAGCCTGCTGGCCTTCAGAGCAACCCCCTTAGACCACCTGATGATTCTGGAAGAAGTAAAAGTGCTCCATATTCCACCCCTCAGCAGTGGCTTTTCTGCCAGACACCAGTGTCACCATCTCCCACACGGCCAGGGACACACGGGCAGCTGGACATGCTTGTGGAGGAGGAGGACAGGAGCGGCTGCTCGGGGACAGCTCTGGGGTGGGACGGGGTGGCCTCGTGCTCATTCCAGCGCTCTGCCCGGGCAGCAGGAGCCTCCTCCTCCCCGCGCGGCGCAGGCCGAGGGCTGCCCTGCGCGCTGCAAATGGCTCTTGATGAGTGAAAATGAGAAGGGAGATGTCAAAAGCATGAGTGGTCAGTGCTGCTTAGTGGTTCACAGCTGCAGTCATTCAGAAGCCAACCTGAATCTATCAAACTGAATCCAGCTGCACAAGCAATGACTAACTGCCCTGCTAGTACGATTTGGGTCTGGGCAGTGTAGCAGAATGACACATAAAAGAACCAGAAAATGAAAAGTAGCTTTTCTGTCTAGTACTGGCTGGGTAATGGGTGCTCCAGCACCACAAAATCCATGTCCTCTTCTCCCCTCCATGCCTGTGGCTAGTTCTGCTTGCCTGGACAGGGGAGGCTGATGTGACTGCAAAATGCTTCAGGCTGGACACAGGGTTAGGGGAGAGCAGGTGTGACAGCAGCAGCGTGACATCTTTTTAGTGTAATAACAGTTAACAAGGCCAATGGGGTAGCAATAATTAGTAATCTCTGTTGCAAGGACAAGAATTGCCACTGCCACCTGAGGTAATTAAAATGGCATCAGCCACTTATCAAGCTCAGCTGAGCTGACTTTTTATAAGGACTTGAAAGCAGCCTGACTTGAGCATGGAAAGTGAAGCATCAAGGAGACAGTGTGTGTGAGATTTGAAGGTAAGATTTGTGTAACATGCTTTTACCTCTGCTAATGTCTTGTCTTTCAGTGGTGTTTCTCCATTATAGCAGATTTCCCACAGTGTTGTGCCAAAACTCCACTTATCTGCTGCAATGCTTAAATTTTTGGAGTCTTCAACACATTCAGGTGCAATCCAGGGGATTCGCTCCACACATTCTTAGATAAAGCAGAGCCAAAGGATTTTAGAGTTGATATCAACAGCTAAATATCCAGAAACTAAGATTTCTTCTCTGCTATCTCACTAAACAGCTTTTTAAGATAAATTGATACAAGCACCCAATATCTGCAAGATTCCTTCACTTCTGTGTAACCTTTGTATCTCTAAAAATGTTTAATTTAGAGCTGGTTCTAAAATAACATTCTCAAATCATATCTTTTCTCTTCTTCTACTCCACTCTGTTGAAGAGAAAAATCTGATTCCCATCCCATACCTTGTCTGGTCAGCACAGTTATTGGAATTCCTGGGTCACTCAGCTTTATGAAGGGACCATATTCGGTGTCAATTCCTTCTCTTGCCAGCAGCATGTTTTTAGTACATACATTTCCATGTACCAAATCCTTATCCTCCTACAATCAGGGAGAAAAAGAATGTGATGAGTGCAATAATCCAGCAATGCTCTGCAAGTGCTCTAAGATCTCTAGCATGGGGGAGAAGGCTGTCAATGTAAGCTATTCACAGCTGAAACCCAAAAATGTAGCTTGGAAACAGGATTTTTAGAGAGAAACAGCAGCAGAAGCAGCAGGGAGACAGACTGTTTGGATATTAGCATATTTACTCAGGGACCTTGATGCATTTGGAGAAAAAAAGAGAACAAAATTATTCCTTCTTCACAAAGAATGTAACTGCAGAAGTGGTAGCTGGGAATTTTCCAGGTACAGCCCATGAACTGGTGGTAAATGCAACACAGAGGCTATATGTGCTGGTGCTGCCAGAAGGCGACCTAATCATTTTCTCTGAGAGCCTTTCTCTCTACTAAAAGCCACATAACGAATACAAAAAAAACCCTTATATTGCATAGTGCTACTGCCTGAGCAAGGAAATTCATTTAATCACAAATGCAATGAAATCCATGACATCCCAGACTGCATGGTAGAGGCAGTGCTTTTCACAAGAGGTCTCTTACCAGGTAGCTCAGGGCGCTCGCAAGTTGCTTGGCGACTTTGAATTTCCAAGGAGTTGTCAGAACTTCACTTCTCCGATGCATAAATAGATCCAGAGGCCCAAATTCCACAAACTCTTCAACCATGATATCTATAAAGTCAGATGCTTTTATCAGTATTGCAACAACCACAGTGTCTGCAGTAATTTGAGACACTTGTTATCATCTTCCATTTTTCCCAGGGCAGCTGGATATTGTGTGCCTTTATTTCACCACCATTAAATTTATTTCACTGCTCATTAATGGTCCCAATTAAAAGGTGAGAAGAGGCTTCACACAGCAAATGAACACTAAATGGGGAACAGAGCCTTCCAAAGGCTGGAAGGCAGAGCCTCCCCAGGGAAGTAACTTCTCTTGGCAGGTGGGTTTGTATTGTATCAATATAAAGCCAATATTTATATTGACTGCACTGCTATCACTTGGGCTGTCTGACTTCAAGGAACCAGCTTGTAAGGCCCTTGCTGAGCACTGGGAGGGAAATCTTGTTAGTGGCAGGGACTTTGCAGCTGCCTTGCTGCTCTGGTTCCTTTCCCTGCATTAAGAACACATGTGGGAGACCCAGCTGCTAATCACCCCTCCCTCAGCACCTTGCTGCCCTGTCCTTCCCAAGCCTGCTCCAAGAGCCCTCTCCAAGGTGCTCCCCGGACTCACTTTCCACGTCGCGGACGCAGACCCCGTGCAGGAGGACGATGTGCTTGTGAGAAACCTGCCTCATCATGCTGGCCGTTTCGAAGAAGGCCTGTTGGAAAGGGAAAGGCACCAGCCATGAAGCTGCTGCTGAGCGCGGCAGCCGAGCACTTTACAGAGTGCCAAGGAACAGAAACATTTGCAAAAGGTCACAGTGTTTTCTGGTAACGTGCAGGATAACAGTGTAGGGATGTGCTACCCCTTTACACCTTCAGCAATTTCCCTTTTCCCTGCTGCACATTTAGACTTTGCCCAGTGTAGTGAGGGGAGATCATTTGCAGCATAATAGACCAAAAAACCCAAGGAACAAAACCAATAAACAGAACTTACCAAGGAAATGTCTCTGTGGCTGGGGTCCAGGACTTTGAGAAGGACTTTAATCTCTTTTTCATTTTGATACCCTTCACTCTCATCGTCTTTGTAGTTGAGAATGCCTGAGTAAATCTGTGTTCTTGTCCCTCTTCCAAGGTGTTCACCCTAAAAGGTAATACACCATAAATTTTCAAACCAAAACACGACACAAACAAGCGTAGATTTACATGAATAGGTGAATCTGCTGTAATCTTTCTCGGAATTAGCCACCTAAAGCTATCACAAGGTTAGAAAGCAAACAATACTTGTTATTCTTTCCTTCAATATTCTGAATATATTCACCCCCAGGAAACCCCGTGATATTAATGCAATATTACATCTCCATTAGCACCAAACAGGTTCAGAGTGACTTACTATCACTAGACTAAGTGTCAGATAATATGCAAATAAAAACCTGGCCTCTTATTCACAATAATCAGCTATTGATGCAATATTTAATGACTTCCCCAAAGTTACATGGAGTCATATTTCAGTGGAACAATTTGTTCTTAATTTCCTCCTAAATAGTAGGGGATTCTTCTTTGAAATAACTTAGCAGGAAAAGTCTGTGTGCTGATTGTAAATATACCAAGCAAACCCACTCCATATAATCTTCCCAAGTCAGTGGCACAATTTCAGCTAACTGCATGGCTTAGGAGCCAAAAACTTCCAGACATGTTAAATTGGATTCATGCATTGAAGTCATTCCGTGCTTTCTGAAGTTTATTCTGGTCCCTAATTGTATATGACTGTCAGAAAATTTGGAAACTTGCATGTTAAATCAGTTTACAAATCAAGATTTTGACTTTCAAGACCCTTCAGAGCTTTAGAATATTTTAGTCTTATTTTTTTCTGTAGGATCTTAATTTAAAACTCATCTATTTCTGTAAAATATCAGGTCTCAAAAGATATAGGTGCAGTCAGTAATCAAACTGAGCAGGAAAAGCAGCTAAGACTTTTTTCATTGTTTTAAGAATGATCTTAGATGCAGCTGTTTCCAAGTATACTAGAAAATTGCTGGATTTACAATTTACTGTGTGACAAAGGACATTAGTTCTAAGTTTCTCTCCCTTTTCCCAAGCAAGAGCATATAAACATTTGTGTTCCTTTACTAGAAGGTTTTAATATAAGTTGAGGTTCAAAGGAAGTTTTGCTAAAAAGAAATGGGAGTGAAAGAATCCTCCAACCAGGCAGAATGTGGTGGTTTTATATTACCTTAGCAGGCACAGTAGCCTGCCACATTCATTTGACTAGAAGAGACACACACAGTGCAGCAGCTACCCACCTGTATGATTTCTTCCTTGAGGATTCGGTGGAAACTTAGCTGCCCTAAATGATAAGTGGGCTGCCATTCCTGAGCCTTCTTGGTTGCCACCAGCAAGTTGGAGACCTCTGCAAGGCAAGGAGAAGAAATATTCTTTAAGACTCTTTAGAGATGGCTGCCTAGTTCATCTCTCTCAGCCAGTAACAAGACTGTATACACAAGGTAAACTCCCAAATGGATGAGCTTGAAGGAGAAAGGAAACTCTGAATTAACTCAACTTTGGTTCTATCATTCAACAGAATTCATGGAACTACAGCTGTGTTTTACATTATTTTTACAAGCTTAGTGTCAGCCATAACAGGGAGTATAGTGCAGAAGCAACTGTTGAGTGTTTACTGCACTGAGAAATAGCTGGGTCCCTGTTACCTAACTACTACAGACAGCAGTGTCTCCTTCCCAGTGTGCAGGTGGGTAAGAGACAGCAGGAGCCTTGTTTCTTCTCTCCATCCCCTCAAAAATGTCCTGTGCTCTGGGAAACACTAACAGTCTCTGTTTTGAGAGCGTAAAACCTGCATTGGAGAGAATAAACAAAGGCAAAGACACAAAAGCCCAGCACCACCTCCCCGCTGCTCCCAATCAGGGGAATGGCATGATTATATCCAAAAGGCTTGGATAGGAATTTTGTTTTCCTGTGTTCGATAGCAGAAGTTATTTATCATTATATGATGGTTCTGGATGTCTGTATAGATCTCACCCTCCCATTACTGGGAGCAGAACATGTATGTCAAGACAAAAGTATCACCTAGCACTCTTAAAACATTCAGCAGTGGGCCATAGATTGGAAAAAATATTTTTCTTAAGCACATTATTGCTTTGTGAATAGCTAATTAAATTGAAATTCAAAAAAAATAAGGAATTAAGGATTTTAATTAAAATTAAGGAATAAGACAAGGAATAGACAGAAATGGAAATTTTAAGGATAATGCACCAAAGTCCAGGGACATGACTGCCTTAAAAAAAGAAACAGAACTACTGCCAAGGAAAATCAGAGGTGGGTGGACAACAACTCATTGACCTGTTTTGTTTATTTTATTCCAAATACATCTACTAAAATGTAATCAAAATGCCTAAATGTTTAATGTCTCCGTGCCTCAGACATCTAGCACTGTTCTTAAGAAGTGTGGATAAACTCAAGTGCTTGGCTACAGAACATGCTCCTCTAAAACCTTCAAAACAAGAAGGTAATTTATGTAGCTCAGTTATTCCCCTTATTCTGACAGGAAATCACTATCTGATCAGCACAACCACACCACTGTGTATTTCCTCTTTCTTAATACAAAATTAAGCTGAGAGAAACTTGTAGTTTATAGCAAACAATTCTAGTAAGTGTTGGCACAGAGAGTTTAACAAAAGCGTGATTGTCCCAGGCCATCCAACATCTGGCCTCACAGACAGTTCTACTGGCATGAAGTGTGTTCTGCTTAATAGCAGCAGCTGGCCAATTCTTCTCCTCTGCTTCAGAAAAATTAATGAAGTAATCAACAAATCATAATGAGAGTAAGCAAACTCCAACCAAGGGTTGGAGAATTAGAACTCTAGGAAAAGCAGTGTGCTGCATGGCCACGCTCTGCCTGGCCTACGTGACTGTGGAGCAAAGGAAGACCCTTATATGGCCCCTGCTTCACCACAGCTTTTCAGCATGTGACTGTGAGTCAGCTGTGACATTTTCATTTTAAACAAATGTGAAGTTCTGTGTCTGCTGTCGATACTGCAGGGCCAGATGTTTAGGTGCTAAAAGGCAAACTTGAACTTTTCTCACCATCATCTGAAAAGTTCATACAAAAAAAGGCTCGTGACAAGCAGCACTGAGCTACCACTACTGCTGCTACCACTGAAAGGAAAGCCCCAACACCTTGTTCACAGTGCTTACCTTCGCTCTTTGACAAGACTCCCCTTAAATAAACAAGCAAGAAACATTATTATATGTATAACTCTTTTAAGTGACAGTTTCATACAAGGTCCTACTAAGAATCCCTCTTTTTTCTAAAGTTTATCTTCTTTTGACAAGCAAGTTTGTTTCTCTTAAGGAACAGACACTACCTCTTGGTTTTGGTTGGCAGCACCTCTTCAGTGTGAAGCTTATGTTGTCTGTCCGAAGTATCTGTCCTTTCAGGTGATCCATCAGCTCTTTTAAGGATGAAAAATTGTTGTTTGAACCATGTAGGAAATACTTGCCCTTTTCCACTTCAATCTGGAAGTTCTTATACTGGATCGAATTATTTAACATCTGATGATAGGGAAGGAGGGGAGAAAGAGGCAAAATATTAATCATGAAAGGGAAAGAATGTTCACAGAAGCTAATAAATCCACACAAGACAAGTTCTCACAAAAGTTCCCCAAAAGCCTTCAGAATCACACCTAGGGCCAGCTAAAGCCTAGCTCCTGAGCTGGGCTTCTCTAACCAAAGCTTTGGTCCCATGAAGGAAGGTCATAAAAACAGAGTGGAAGATGAGTAGTATAAAAATGCAAGCATCTAACAAGCCTGAATTACTGCTTATGTGTTTAAAGCCATACAGCAGGGCATGGAGGAAGCCCTTTTCAGTAGGAATTTTCTCTCCGCTCAGCCAAGAATCACACAATTCAGCCCCTAGTTTCAAAACCTCAACATAAAGATAGCAAGACTCCCTTTCACAAGGCAGGCTGCTCAACAAGCTGAATCCACAAGATTTCAGGCTTTTCTTCAAGTCTTCCAATTTCATTCAAAGGCACTGGAGAGCAATGAATGGATCCTCACACTTATCTATCTCAGGCCTGCGCCCCTTCAAGGCCTCTGCTTCCTCATCCCTCACGTCACGTAGTTTCATGCAAACCTCTCTTCCTTTTCCCCCTCTAAGCCTTGCAATAAGGCTGAACATTTTCCATGACAAAACTCATTTCCTGTTTCAATGCCTCTGTTGCCCTAAGACAGTGATTTTCTTCACTGTTTTAGGGGGGTTTTGTTGTTGCAAAGGACTACAGATGAAGAGTCCTATATCCATGCTAAGGAATGGCTACTATTCTCAACGGTGTCTTTTTTCCATCATTTTACATTCTTTGTCTCAGATTTCCTCTCTTGGCCTCATTCATTCTTGTAATCTTTTTCTCAAAAGGAAATTGTAAGTTTTTATGATAATATTATTGTTTCATAAAAAGTTTAGGTATCATGCAAAAACTAGGAAGTCAGCTGTGGGCTTCCAACTGGTGGCAATTTTTACATAATTTATATAATTATTACATTCTTATTTTCTATTTTTAATCATAACTATATGATTTTCTCACGCATTCCACCTCTTGAAGTTTTCCTTATTACTCTCATATTTTATAAAACATATTCCCTGAGCTAACTCTCTGCATGACTCTTTTTGCAGTGCTCTTCATGTAAAGCCAACTGTCCTTCCTCACTATCCTTTTCAGTGTCTCAGTAGAAACACATTCATATATTTAAATTAACGCTCATGAAACATTAGGTAAATTGCAGTAACAAATTCTGCATGTAATTTTCACAGCATAAAGTAATGCAAAAAAAAAAGCCTAATTTGAATTGTATTCATGTATTGTAGTCTATTGCTCTGTAATGAGTCCTATTTCAGAGCTGACACAAAAGTCTAGAGAAAATGAACCTGTGAGTACAAGAGTGTAACCTCTGCTGAAGTCAACGAGCTTTCAAGAAAGGGAAGAGTGACTGTCCTAAAGAACAGGACTCTATGACCAGGTGACTGCTGGTAATGCCACCCCTGACGTACCTCTGAGCCATCAAAACAAGTCACCGTCAT